ATATACTAATAAAAGTTGAAACTAAATGCTTCTAAGAGTGTCCACATAGGATTTAAAATTTTAATTCTATTGGTCCCATCAACATTCAAAAATTCAAAAATAAAGAAAGTTTACAAATTCTAATATTATTGTTAAATAAGGAAATTTAGAAAGTTTACAAATTCTAATATTATTGCTAAATAAAAAATTTCTGTATAATTTTTTTATTGGTCCAATTCAACATTGAAAATCAAAAAGTTTACAAATTCTATTATTAATTTTTTAAAAATTATTAAAGATATATAATTTCTATCAATAATAAAAAACTAAAATAAATAATATTAAAATATGAAATTTTTAAATTTAAGGCGTCCACATAGGATTTAAAATTTTAATTCTATTGATCTACATCAACATTCAAAAATAAGGAAAGTTTATAAATTCTAATATTATAATTGAGTAAAGAAATTAAGAAAGTTTACAAATTCTAATATTATTGCTAAATAAAGAAATTCTGTATAATTTTTTTATTGGTCCACTTCAACATTGAAAATTTAAAAGTTTACAAATTCTATTATTGTATTTTTAAAATTATTAAAGATAAAGAAATTATATATAATTTCTATTAATAGAAAAAAACTAAAATAAATAATATTAAAATAGGAAATTTTAAATTTTAAATTAAATGTATACACATATTTAGAGACTCTTACATTAGCATCCATTTTTTTGTGACATATAACAATTTCGAAAAAAAAAATTTCTGTGTGTGTAACCATATCAAAAAAAAATAAGAGTTAAGTTTCACTAAAAAGAGTCATTACAGCATAAAAGAACCAACTTGATTAAACTATATGTTTAACTATTAGCTAAATTACAAAAAATATATGAAAAATAAATAAATAAAACCACTACAAGACGCTTTAATATTGAAAAAGAGACCGTAAAATCTCCAAAGCTTGGCTACCAAATTTGAGAAGAATGATAAATTCCAAGCAATCCGAGAAACATGTCAAGTGATTGATACTCGATATTTTTGAAAAACGAAGCACATAAAATAGAGAAAGAAGTTTCATTATTAAGACGAAGGAGATTGATGTATCCAAAGAAGATTTTTGAAATAACATGGCATCTGATGGGGTTTTAACAACCTATCTTTAACTACAAAGATAACAATTAGCTGACAAAGCAGCATCTAAATACATTTGATAAGCCTTAAAAAAAGGAGGCTTCTAAATCCTAGTACTAAGAAAAGTTAAAGCTATATGCCTCTAAAAATATTCACATAGAAAAATATTTAAAATTGGTCCATATCAATATTTAAAATTTTTTAAAAAAAAATTCTATTGTTAACAAAAATTATATATATAGAAAAATAAAAGTTGAAGCTATATGCATCTAATGACATCCACATAAGATTTAAAAGGTCAAATTTATTAGTCTACATCAATAACTAAATTAAAAAAAAATTATAAATTATAAAATTACATTTTTAATACAAATCAATATAAGAAAAATTGTTAATTAAAATTCTTAATAATAGTTAAAGCTATATTATTTTCAATATTAAAGTAGGAAAATAGGAAAATCTTGAATTTAAATTAGATGTATGCACACATATTTAGGGGCTCTTATATTAGCAATCAAATTTTTGTCACATACTATAATAAATTTTAAGTTTTTTTTTCCTTTGTGTACAACCATTTCAATTGAAAAAACAAAAATATAGAGTTAGGTTTCACTAAAGAATGAATTATTTCAACGTAAAAGAACGAATTTGACTAAATTATCTGTTTATATATTAGCTAAATTACAAAAAATATGATGAAAAGAGATATAAACAAAGCCACTATAAGCTGTTTTAATATTGAAAAAGATACCATAAAATCTCTATAGCTTGACCATCAAATTTGAGAAGAATGATAAATTCCAAGCAGTTCGAGAAACATGTCAAGTGATTGATACTCGACACTTTAAAAAAATGAAGTACTGAAAATAGAGTAAGAAGTTCCGTCATTAAGGCGAAAGAGACTGAGGTATTCGAAGAAGATTTTTGGAATAACATGGCATCTAACGGGGTTTTAACAACCCAACTTCAAAGGTAACAATTAGCTGACCGAACAATATCCGAATATATTTGGTATGTTTCAAAACAAGGAGGAGAGATCAAAATCACTTGCCGCAACGGGCCTCGTGTACGATCTTCCAGCTTTGATTTTTAAATCTATTACTAATAAAAGTTAAAGTTATATGTCTCTAAAAGCGTCAACATAGGATTTAAAAGTTCAATTTTCTTGGTCCACATCAATATTTAAAATTAAAAAATTTCAAATTTTAAAATTATATCATTAACAAATAATGTATTTATAGAAAAAACTTTGTTAACAATTTTTTTTATTATTAATAACAGTTAAAGCTATATTATTTTCAAGGCATCTACATCAGCGTTTAAAAATTCAACTTTATTCGTATATATCAATATTGTAAATATAAACAAAAATTTCCTAATTCTAATATTATTGTTAAGAAAATAAATTAAAAACTAAAGAAATTTCTATTAACAAAAAAACAACATGATATTAAAATCTTCAATATCACTGTTTAAGTTATAAATTTAATTTATTATTTATAATAAAAATATATCCAACTTATACAAGATAAAGTTACTTGATTTTAAAGCTTTTCACGTAAAATTTTAAATTAGTAATAACTATGATTTATATTTATCTAAATTTTTGTTACATATACAAAACATATTTTCACATAACCTCATGTAATATATTATGCCAAAATAATAAAAAATTACATTTTGTATATTTGAATTACAATATATTAATAGAAATTCTTAGTTTTTAGTTTTTCAATTTGTTATTAATTTTTTTATATTTGTATGTATTAAATTGTATCGATTTTACATACTTAATTATAATTAGAAAAATTGAGAATGAATATAATGAAACTGAATATTATAATCATACAAAAATCAGTAAAATATATAAATAAGATTAAAAAAACATATATAACAAGAATAAAAATGAACATGATGAAAAAAAAATTTGATTCTTATTAGAAGAGATGATGTACAACATTGAAAAATTATTTAAAATTTAACACAAACAATTGACAAAAATATATTTAATTCACATATTTTGTGTGATTTTATTCATATCATATTCAACTATTATTTTGGTTTCAAAACTAAAGCTGTTATTAATCTCAAAGTAAATATTTTATTTATTAGTTGTTTTTTAAATTAATAAATCAAAATAAAATTTTGTATGGTTAAACAAGAGCAGAAAAAGATTAAATTTTAATTTATTTTTTTAAATAACACATATATAATTGAAATAATATTGAAAATGATGAAAAAACAATTTTTTCTTCTTCGATTTAAAGAAGTGAATGTATAATATTTTATCATCATGTCAATATTATGTTTAAAAAGTAGCATTTGATTAATTTGTAAAATTTTTAGGTAGTTTGAGTATATATATTAACTTATAAGTGTTTGATAAAATAACACATTTTTGAAATACGACATATATAGATTCAAAACAAAACCGTTAAAACATCACAATTTATATTAAAATTATTATATTAATATCATAATATTTTTAATATATTATCCAAACACTAATATATAAAATTTATATCATCATAGATATAATTGATCGTATATAATTTTTATCAACAAAATACCCACGCGTAGCGTGGATGCAAAATCTAATATTATATTGAAAATTATTTTTGATAGGAATAAAAGATAGAAGAAATTAAAAACCTGAGAATATTTACACAAAAAGTTTATATATACAAATAAATTTGACTATTTGAAAACATACATAAATATATTGGTATTTTGTTATGTCATATTTTTTTTTAACATTAGTCATTTAAAATGGAAAACTGTGAATATATATATATATATATATATATATTTTTGCATTGCATAAACTGTAAATATGTAATTTTTTTCAGCCAAAAAATACAATGCACGTGGGATAGTTATTTAAAGTGAAAAAAAACAAAGAAAATTCTAACTCAATTAATACATGAAATTTTCCTTGATGTTGAATTAACTTTTGAGTTATCAATTTTACAAAGTGCATTTTTGAGTAACTCATGACAAATGAATAAGCGTTTATTAAGATGCGCAATTACGTGGAATCTACAGCGTTCTTCACGCCATTAATGAAAACTCCTTCAATTCTTCTACTCAAACATCTAATATCAACTTTCAAAAAAAAAAAAAAAAAAAATCTAATATTTACCTTTTTTCCTGGTAAACAATAACAACAAAACAGATATGTGATTGTGTTTTGATCTCGTGACAAACAAACAAGAAATTACTACAGGTTCTTCTCTTCTTTCTGTCTTTTTTATTTTTCGTCCTGATTCTTGTGACATCCATCGTATGTGAAACTTGTCCTTTTATATGTTGTCTCGATTTAGCTTTTCTCCCTCGTTATTTATTGAATCTCTGAGTAGATCTGGGTTTTGTGATCTTGCAATCATCAAACAGCGTTCTTCTTCTGTAATCAAACAGCGTGATGAAGACAAGGCAGCTTTACTTCTTGATTTATTACAAGATCGAGGGGGCAACTTTAGAGTATGTTTTAACGTACATTATAGTCTCAAAATCATGGGTCTTTTTTTTAGAAAATTAGATATATGGGATTCTTACTAGACAAACATAAATTTTAAGGGTTTATATTATAATTATAGTTGTTTAATTACTTAAATGATTTTGGCATTTTCAAACACCCTATCGTTTAAATTTGGAAAGATATTAATTTTCTCCTCTGTTCTTGTCTTTCCACAGTTTTGTCATAACTCTTTTTCCATTGAATATATATTTTTTGTTAAGTTTCCAGCTTCTTTAACAACCAATTCTATGGAGC